CACTTCTTAATCTTTTCTTCATTAACATTGCTATTAACAAATACTTGCAAAAAAAAAAATAAATAAATAAATAAACGTCTAATAACATTTATCAAATGATTACTTTTCAAAATTTCATTTTTTCTTGTGCTAAAAAATTTTTTTTATTAAGAAATGAATTCAATGAGCCAAAAATTAGTGGCCCAATTATGCTGTCTAAACTAGCAGTCGTGCCAGTTGTCATTAGTGATACTTTCATTATCACGCAAGCTTTCTTTGATAATCCATATTCTGGCATCTCGTGTATATTTTAATCTTTATTCCATTTTAGAAGTTATTTCTTAATAGGATAGGAGTATTTAAGACACAATATTCATCTTTGAACTATTTAATAATAAAAATTTTCTTTTAATTAAAATGCCAACTTTTTTTTTTCTTTTTTTTTCTGTTCTTTTGTGATTGCTCAAGCAAAAAGATAATAAAAGCAACAAACTACAAACATTTTCCACTACTAGCAACACATTGTGTATGCAAATGATATAAAAGTGAACTTTCTCATTTCTTACCTGAGAATCTTGTAGTCAGCAAAAAATTGCTAAGAATATTGTACCATCAACGAATTGGGAATAATTTAAAGAAGAGGTGATCATTGAGGTATTAATGCATTAATAAAAGTTGCACATAGCTCTATCAAGAAGATCGTTTCAGATTTAAATTTAAGATGTAGAAGCAAATTAAGTATATGTCCTAATTCTTTTGAAGAATAAAAACGAATTCTTCTGTACTTTCATTTAATTGTTCAGAAAGATGTCTCCAATGGAACAATTATCCTTAAAATCCACAGTAAAGTATTATTGTTCTCGGAGTTGGCTAAAGATATATCATAAATTTTCTGGAAGAAGAGATTTTCATCGTAAAAAATGGTCTTTTAAAAGAGCTAAACTGGTTGTAATTTTGTAAACAGTTCGATAGTTGCAAAATTGATATAATAATTTGTGGATTGGGATCGGAGATCAGATAGATCTCGAAGAGATCATTGATAAAATCCTGAATCATCCATTCATACATCAAAGAAGATATTTCTGCATAGAAATTCTCCTGTGAATTGAACTATTAGAGCAGGCAGATAGAGACAGACAGAAACTTATAGAGCAGATTATAAATATTTACAGGGAAATAAAATTAAATTGAATGATGCAACTTCACGGTAGTATCACATTGCTTCAAGCCGTATGACAAATAAGAGAGAAAGGCCTGAATGAATGGTCATAGGATGTAGAAAAGTGTGTAAGGCAAGGCAATAAGGAGTGGCATTTAGACAAGTCCAGAGAAAAATATATAGTAAGGCTTGGTAAAGCTGAATTTTGAATTTATAAGGTGACATGTCTATGGATGTGTAACGGATGGTTAGAGACACTCTCTGAGTCCATTATTCTAGCCAGAAACCCTATTCCATTGAGCCCAGTTTATCAAATGAACCGGGCACAGTTTAGCAAAATGCTCATACACACACATACACACACACACACACACACACACACACACACACACACACACACACACACACACACACACACATACACACACACATACACACACACACACACACACACACGCACATAACATACACATACATACATGCATACACAGTCACAGACACCTATGCATAACTCCCGATAAAAGAGACGTGCAATGTATAGACAGAAATAAATAAGAAGCTAATTTGCATTGCACGACGTGTCACATTCCTCGACCGGCTACTTCATTCTTTATTTCACTTCTCTCATCAGTGTCACACTTCTCACTATTCCATTTAAGATTGTAAAAGTAGTTTAGCTTTGATTGTATTTATATTTGAGCACTTCATCTATCGACCATTTCAGTGATCGATCTGCTGATCAATCAGTACTAGACCTCTTCAGCTGCATTAAATTAATGAAAGTATATGTCTGTGACTCTCATCAACAAAATCTGATAGTCCACCGCAAATGTATCATTATTATCAAAAAGTATTAGATATTATTACTTTACTAAATCATACGATTAAATAGATAAATTAATATATAGCTGTAAGAACGATAGATGTGTTATTACAGATATAATATACAGAAAAACGACATACATCATTTTATATAGACAGAAGCAAACAGATAGTAAAAGATAAACACTACAAGCATAAAAGTCTAATAATTGAATGAAGTCATCTTCCAATCAGAAATTCAAAAATTGAGATCCTGGAAAAGTCCGAGAGATCGTTTAAGTCAAAATTAGTGCAACTAATATGTAGAAATGAAGCAATGACTTTATTCCTTCTGTGAAACTAACTCATTTTACTTTTCAAATTGTACCTATTAGTCATACTACAAACAGCTAGAAAATAATTAAATAAGATAGAAATGAAATAATAATAAAATCCTTTCCAAACACAAATAAAACAAGTCAATGATTGAACAAGTTATTATTGAGTAAAGCGTTATAAGTTATACCAATCACGTTGTAATCAGATGTCAATAAGACGCTTACACTCTCACATAACATCATAATTTCAAGCATAGCTTCAGTACTTTATAAATCTCAGTGAAAATGAAAGCCTTGAGCCAAAAGGAATAGATGAGTGCTTACTGCCAATACGCATTTAAAGTTACGAATAGGCTTTTTGTTTTTCTATCTCCTCTGTCCTTTTATCTTAGCTGTCCTCATAACATAACACTTTCAAACTGAAAAAGAGCCTGGAATTCTAGAATGCTTCTTTGGTAGCACTTTTTCCCCTTTTCTTCAACTGCTTCTTGTCTATCTATTTGTTATTTGCATTCATATTGGATCAAACGACCACTTGCAGTCATTTTTCAAGCAAAAACCGTTATACCTTTTAAACAGAACAAGAGAAAACAGGACCATTTATAATTCGTGCTCTTATATTGCCATATGCACACATCACATAATGAGGTAAAAGCGAGTCTACAACAAGTCATTCATCTGTACCCGATCAGTTCCTCAGGTATACATCAATTTCAATGAACCGATCAATAAGTTATAAGCAAAAAGGTGGGTAGAGCTCATTGTTCACCAATATATTAATTTGTGTGAGACATGAAAAGCGATAAATTAAGAGTTGTTGATTTCTTACTCTTTTTTCATGATTATAATTATTGATTATCGTAAATAACTAATTACACTGATACTCCATATAATCATTACTATAATCTCGTATTATAAAAAAAAAATTTTATTTTTTGTGTGATAACAACAATTAATAATAATAAATATTTTTGAGCATAATAAGAATAATAATTTAAGAATAATAATAACAACAATAATAATAAACATGTCAATAATAATAATAATAAGAAGAAGAAAAAGAAATAAAAACTGTAACCACATAATTTAATACACTATACGATTGTGTTATTATACTGTATTATTGTAGTAGCACATTGGAAATAACTGCAGAATTGAACCGAGATGAGATTAGATTTCTATAATTACTTTTAACTTTTACTATTAGTTAAAATTCTTTCCATAGTTAATGATGTTCGAGTGGAAAACTACCAAAGTATTGTCTAGAAAATTGTTTTCGAAAGTTATAAATCTAAACCCCTAATTCTCCTTGTACAAACTCCGCATTACCTTTCATCCAATTATCTACCTTATCATACTTATCACAGATATTACCTACTATACCTATTATATCTTGAACTTATTTAAAATTTGATCTTAGGTTTTTGCTCTTGTTTACTTGAAATCCCTACACAAATATCCAGAAATCTCTCAAAAGAAAATATCTTGCTCTTCATGATCAGGTATGTCTTCTCTGGAGACGCTCATCTACTCATCCAGAGTATTACATTGACTTCAGTCATTGCTAACATTTTTTAAAATATTTGAATTCAAAACATAAGACGAAACCACGATCAGAAGTAATAACGGAAGAATTTGAGGCCATGCACGTTTCTCACAATCAATTTTATTCTCTGTGTCATATTCTCTCCTCTCATTTCTATTTCATCATTTTCAAAAATGTCAACTAAAATTTTTATCTTATACGATCAATCAATAACCTATCGTTAAAAATATTTCATAGTTATTCTCAAAGACGATGAGTTTTTTTTTCAATACAAAAATCGTCTTTCACATTGGATTTTATAAACAACTGTCCTTTTTTCTTTTTTTCTAATATATTCGAATCAATAAAAATTCATCACTCTTGTGACAAGCTTTATTTGAACTTTATTGAAGCAACGTGTTAATTTTTCGTTGCATTTAAATGTTGATTGAAGTGGTTGAAATAATAGCAGCAAATCTTTTTCAGAAGCGGAAATAACAAAATACTTTGCACTTTTCATGGAGAAAAATAGGCCACTGATTTACTGTCACTCGATCAATTTTGCTAACATTTCTTATGAGATGCTTTTTTCGTAAGTGACTGATTCTTCCTGCACTAGTTTAAAAAAAATCAATTATTCCGGGATTCCCAATTTTTTCTCATTTTTTTTCATATAAATCAAAGTTTTGTATTATATATATATATATATATATATATATTAACTAAAATTTAAGATTTCAATATAAATTCAAAAAGTCTATATAATTACACTATTGAAACCTTATTTTCAAGGTCAGTAATGAAATAACTTGAAATTGAACTATTAAGATTCATTTACAGTTTTAATTAATTTAGAATTTAGGAATTTAATTTCATTCGCATCTTTCAAGATAGAATGGTTAAATGCACTAAGTAATAACATAGATATTATTTCTTAAATTAGCGTAGTATCATTACCACCTACCTTCTAGCTAAATACTAAAACAACAGTGATTGCTTCCTTTTGTATTAATCTCTTTTTACAACAATAAAGTGATATGTTTAGTAAAAAAAAAAGATGTGAAAATGACAAACTGACAAACTTTCTGAACCAATAAGAATAAAATAAAAATTGAGGCACATTGGTTATTTTAAGATTGTCACAATAAGTTTTGAGCTGTGTTACATTATGCTGAGCAGAGAAATACGCGTGTCTTTTTCATAAGGCGTCTGTTGATCGAGAAGCGCTTACCTGTTGACTCTTTAATTCTTCCGTAAACATCCTGAAAATGAAGTTCATTGTAGATGAATTTAGAAGGAAGCAGAGCATCTAGCTCAGTCTTTTTCATTCCAAACTTTTTTCGCTCCCTCTCATATAAAAGCATTCCGAATTACCACATTACTGGTCAGTTTCCATTACATTACAAGTAAAGTATTTTCATTTTTTAAAAGTAATAGAAATGAACAGAACTGACTTGCTAAATTGGAATATATAAAAGAGATTTGTCTCGCTGTCAAGAATATGCACTTGTTCGCATTTCCATTTGAAACTGTGCTGAAGTATATTAATTTTACAATATTAATGAGGTTCTAAAAAATTGTATGACTGTATGATTTAAATCTTACATTTTTCAATTGCTATGTTTAGTTAGCAGTGCCCTTTGCTATAATCTAACAAAAACAGAATTTGGCCGCATTTAGCTTTGGATCGACACATAATTATCAGATCACTAACAATGGTCGATCTATTTGATTGCATTTATCGATTTTTGAAAATAAAAATGTTTGGAAATAGAGACAGGTAATCAAGCCAAGAATGACTAGTAAAAACAAAGATAATCTAATCTACAAAAAGCAAAGAAAGGATATAAATGAACGATTTGATTTAGTCTCTAAGTAATCAGAAAGAGAAGACATATGCACTTTGCAGATAGAAATCTCTAAGGACAAAACGTATGCAAATGGAAAATAGAAGTGTGTTCTTTACGTTAGACTACGTGTATTCGCATCATGTTAGCATATCGAAACATGACGATTAAGCATAAATTTGATGAAAATGATGAAAATGTGAAACTTACGTTTTCATTCTTTATTACGATTGAGGTAGTCAGAAGCTCGCCAATAGAAACAGCTTCAACTTCAAATTTACTCATCTGTAAATTACAAAATAAGTCAGTAACTTTGAAAATAGATAAGCTTCTAATGTTAATTAATTAATTAAGTAAAGAAAAGAGAAATAAATAAACAAAAAAAAAGAAGGGTAATAAGTGGGAAATTTTAAAAGTTAAATTTAACGAACTTTTTTCTCTTGAAACGGATCGATGTCATCATTGATTAGCTTTCTCAAACCTGTATCGCCTTTTGTTCCATTTAATGTTAGATAAACATCAAAATCCGCACTTGATTCACCAGAATTTACAGTAATTATATAGACAACGTCTACAACAACAACAACAACAAAAATTTATTTTGATGATTTAAAGCAAAAAACTAGGCATAAATATTTTGTTAGACAGAAAAGTTTAAAAAGTTCGCTAATTAGTGGAACGAAATACAACAAAAAATTAAATCCCAAAGTTCATAAACTTCGGAAATTTTCTGAAGACAGAAAATTCAACCAAAAAAAGAATTTTTTTTTTTTTGCGTGCATTCAAGCAACATACTTTTGAGTTGGCTCGAGCTTTATTTGGAACTTACTTGAAATAGGTGGGATATCCGGCCAGACAGCTGGGAATTCATAAACCGATTCCAATGTAAGGATGGTATTCACAGCAGGAAATCGAAGTTCATCACCATTCTCAGAGTCGTAAAGCTTCATCTGAAATAAACTAATATTTTCCGAACAGAACATGTACTGGGTTGTAGCTGAAAGTTTGAAGTACTGAAAGGTTACAAATGTAGAGAGATAATTATTAATCATGAACCTTCTGTATTTCAATGATATTTTCATCATTAAATTGAGCGTCATTTGATGAAGTACAGTTGAGATATTGTGAATCATCGATACCAACTCTAACTTTGATTATCGTTGAAATGTCTACTGCTTTCTGCTGTACAAAACTTTGATTTTATAAATATGGGATAACTTTTGGAAGTAATGAAGTTGATTAGGTATACTTCAAATAAGTATAGAAATAGTTTAGCCGGAAGGAAATAAGCAAGTCAGAGGATCACTATGCTCAAAATAATTTGAAGCGCATATTGAAACAATATTTTAGCATGAAACCTGATCATAACTGAATCCTGTCAATTACCAGCTTCGAGAGCAATAAGTTCTAATCTGTTCCCTATCATCCGAACTTTTTTAAATTTAATTTCAATCTAATAATGAAGCTTTACTTTAAAGCTTACTACAAATACGAAAAAAGCAAAAATCCATGTACCTGAAAAGTAATAATCATATCGATGGGAGTAGTAGCGACGATATTCATCTCTGCACTTGTATTTTCTGCACAAAGTGTTACTTTTGGGACTAAAGTACTGCCTTCACCAATTGTCATTGATAGAATCCATTGAGGTTGCTTTCTCGACAAAGCTTTTTTCTTACTGATTTTGGTTGAAAGGCCTTCCATTTCTATTGTTAAATTTGATTAATTTCTAAATCTAGGATATTCCATCGAAAATATACCATAAAACGATGCTTCTTCAGAAAATCTTCAGAAAAATAGAAACCAGAAAGTAGAAGCTCAACGAAAAGATCTCCAATATCGTCACACGTATCCTCTTTAACTTTCTCATTCTCCTCTTCCATACTTTTCACGCGGTTAACTGCCATTACGTAACGATACGGTGCGTGATGTGATTCACGAACGGTTACTTTCTCAGCGATCCAATCATTTGCCATTGAGACCTTTATATGTCGTCGATCGTAGATATCTTGTAACATTTGTATACCCTCATATATTTCGTTTCCTTTAAAAAGTATCCAAGAAGATATTTTCATTGAAAACTAGCATAACTAGCATTTATCAATTTTTTCTAGCATCATTTTATCCTTTCAAATATGAAATTTTTTTACAGGAATTTTTCAAAAACAAAAATGAGACCATAAATTTACCAATGTCATTCATTTTGACGTACAATCGCGTACTTTGTATACGTCCAACTGAAACAGCTTCAGCTTTGAATGAAAGTTCCTAAATAATATGTTACAGGTGTTGACAAAAAATATTATGAAAATAATGAATAATAATCATAACTTATAAGAAAAAGTAAAATACAGTAAATCTTTCTGATCAATCGTACAACATTTTATTTAGCATAAAGGTTTACCTAGAAGAATAAAATAAACTCACTTGCTTCAAATCCGAAACACATCTGAAATCAACAGGAAAACAACCTGTTTCACCAATTTCACCAAGTATTCTTGCATATATGATAGGTTTCTCCAGAAATCGCTGTTTGCGTGAACTTAACTTAATTTTCCCTTCGTAAGACAATACTGCAAAATAAGAACATAAGGGGATATGTCAAAATTAAAAGAACTTTTTTGATGGAAGATGATTTTGAACACCGATTTTTTTATTTCTATTTAAATTTCTATGACAGCATTGTAATAGCCTAATACATTGTTTTTCGAATATATTGATGTTGGTATAGAAAATTAAAAATTACCATTTAAAGGTTCAAAAGCTGCTCGGAAAACTGGAAATTCTCGAAATGGTTGCGAATTCTTCTCATCACAACCTATTTTCAACCATTTTCTCACATATGATACCATGCGTTCTTCAGTATCCAGATCTCTGAGTTCAACATAATTCAAATAATAATTCGGCATTTCACCATTTCCATCAATTTCAATTCTCACTTTTAGTAGATCTCCAATTTCACCGAAATCCACCTATAAATTGTGCTTTTTTTATTTGAAATAATCAAAATGAAGTTATTCGAAATACTGTCCTGTCCGAAGGACTTCTTTTGAAATAAAAAGCAGGTTTCAAAGTTCAGAGGAAAATTTTGGTAAGAAAAGAGTAAAAATAATTACTTGAAAACTTTTCGCTGTCTCGAAGATCTCCAAAATCGCCGCCACAATAGAAATTAGAAAAAAAGTATTAAAATTCACCTGCACAAGTGAAGAAGATGGCACCTTTGCCATGCGACTGTCATAAATTTTTGTTGTCATTGAACTACTTTGGCTACCATAACCCACTATATTCAGATTTGATGTAGTTGCACCGCTACCATCATCTTTGCCAGAATGCAAGATAAGCTCCCAACGACCACCTACAAAAAAGTGATGCTAATTCTTGCTTTGTGCAAATGTTTCATGCAATTATTTGAACTTATTACGATGACTGTCATCCTGTCACTTCACGTAATCATAGTCAAATATATTTGCATATCAAAAGCCTTTCAATACTTGTTGCATTTATACTTGTACAAACTGCCGCTCGTAACAAAAATTTGATTATTTTTGAGAAAATGTTAATCTAAGAAAAAAAATGTTAAACTATCTATCTGTAAGTTTGCAAACTTAGATTTAAATTCTTTATCGTGAATCCTACTTGTAGATCTAGAATCGTGTAAGATAGTAGTAAGGTAGCAAAAAGCCGTTGTCTTCAGTGATCGTTCAATTTTCCCATCCACTTGACCACTGTCCAACCATTTGGCACATTGGAAAAGATACTGCCGTCCATCAGCAATATTTTCGGTAACCAGAACTCGTTCAATATATACTCCGACTCCTGAACTTTATTAGGAAATTTTTAAAACATTTTAAAAGTTCAAATTGAAATTTGCGAATTTCTTTTTAAATCGAAGAAAAAAATATGCTTACTTACAGCAGTATGAATAGAACTTACCGTAACCAGTACGATCATGCCCGATAATAATTTTTTGAAGTAATCCAAGTTTCGTCGTCTCAATATGAAAGGAATCCATTCTGTTCTGTTGAAATTTTGGTTCATTTGTCTGTAACCAATTTATATACTGAAAACATGACATTTTAATTGAGAATTGTTGGAAAAATGCCCACTCTCTCCTCGTTTCCTTATTGATCAAATATTAGAAAATCGCAATATCGATTGATTTTTCAAAACCAAATGATTGAATTTGTTAGCAATTGATTTTTCCGACTTATGACAATGATATATTTGTTTCCAATATAAATTTTGCTATTATGATATTGAGATATAATGTTTAAAAAACCGTCTACTGATTGGTTTTCGTTCATAATTTGTTTTGGTTAACACCGATAAGTAGATTAACCGGCTGTAGCTAATACTTTAGAATGTCCATCAAGCACTGTCTTGATCTGATCTATCGTAGATATACGAAACAGCTCACATCTTGTCGCAATAGATGTTTCTCGCTTGTATTTAAGTCACCATATAAAATAATGAACAAGTCGAGATCTGTATCAGCCGCCCAACGATTTCCAGTAATTACCGATACTGTATAAGTCATACCTGAAAGGTATCTTTTTAGTAACCGTGATAAAGTAATACTAGATAGTATTACAAACTAATTAATATAAACCAATTTATTACTATAAACTTATTTGTAAATTAATTAAATTAATTTAAGAATGATGGAATGTGCAACGATAACAGCATTAACTGATTCCAGGATAAAGTCATTAATGATGAAAATTTTTTAGTCCAACAAATCAAACCGCTGTATGTTAAATTCATATCAAACAAACCATCTTCTTTTGTGCTAGGTGAAAAATTAGCTTCAGGAGAAAATGTTTCATCGTTATCAAATGCCTGATCATTAGATGTTGCAAGCATCAGTTCCGGTACTTCTTCCTTTGCCGAATCGGACTGTCCGGTATCGGCTGTATCGCTCGCCTTTCTTTCTTCTCTTTCGTGATCTTCAATTACAATCGCTTCAATTCATTCAATTATGTTTGTCTCAAAATGAAAGCTCAACCAATTATAATTGCTGCAGAATGAAGAAAATTCAATCAAATAATCTTTCCGAAATCTGACTTTTTTCATTATTTTGTACCAACTCTTCTTCCTCTTCCTCTTTCTTCTCATTGGCTTCATTTTCTTCTTCACTTCCTTTGTCTTCTTTTACGTCTTCGGTCTCCTTCTCATTGTCCGGTTCTGTCAGTTTACTTCCACGTGACACTTCTCTTCGATTATCATTTGCTGTAAGCTTGTTCACTTGATCACTACAATCTTCCACATTTTCAAGCATTGTCTCTTCCTCATATATTTGTGGCGGCTTTTGTGAGAGTGACAAAGCTGGTAGGTGCTGCGTAGCTTCCAGGGAAGCTGAAATTTCTGAGGAAAAATTAATGATAATTACTAATTTGCATATCACAAAATTTCACACTTAAAGAATTTTGGTAATTTTGAAAAATACGAACATTTGTTTATTTTATTTCCCGATGGTGTATTCTTTGATTCGTTGCTATTTCGTTTACTCAAACGAGACATCGAAGTTAAGGGCATCATTTTACTGCTTACCACCCGTTGAGGTCTCTCAATTGAGTTCTCCCGGTAGGCGGACTGGACTGTTTGCTTAGCTAGAACATAATTTACTTTGAACAAATTCATTCGTACGGGGGAAAGTACTTAATGCGAAATGCATTTTACGTAATATCAAAGAACGAAATCTTATTTTCATATGACATACAAACTTAATTTAATATAAAGTTACCGATAGTAGGCTGTCCTAAAAGACTCGGTGACGTCATCTTTGAAATCGGCGGTAGTTGTGGTATACTTATTGGAAACATACTTTCCCGAAACATAGGTCGCTCATTCCTTGGTACAGCAAGTAGTCGAGTTTCATTTAACAAAAAAATTTCATCAATACTTATAATCCTCTTACCGGAATAAGTATACAGTTTGAAAATTGCCATCTAAAATCCGATTGATTTAGGAGTTCCAAAAGATTTGATGCTGCAGAAAGCTTTATTAAGTTTTCCAATCTTAAATTAACAACAATGTCACAGCTAATAGATACGATAATTTAATTTGGATTAAGATGCACCTTGTGCCTTAAGCCTATGTTTCATTAACTATTGCATAATATAATATCAAGCAATTTTCATCGTAATGAGAAGTCTTTGTTTCACCTGTAAACCTTCCGAAACTTCTTCCAGCAGCGATTCGATGGTCCTTTGACGAAGAGGATTGAGCAGCGTTCGATAAATCCGCGAAGGTTTGCCATTTAAGACAAAAAATAGCTAAACACAAGATTAAATTTTAATAAACAATTTTATTTTAGTGAGAATGAATGATTAAATTTAGTACATTCATTATTTTTTCTTGCCATATGATTAAGGGAAAAAATGATCGATGTAAAGTTGTCAGGGTGATAAAATGAATTAGAACACTAATAGCTAACTAACTATATGAATAAATATTTTATCCATCACTCTTCAAATTAAAGGCTTTCAAATAATAATACTTTAGGAAAATGAAAATTTCAAAAGACGAATCTTAGTGAAATTTAAATTATAAAATATTAAAAACTAGTATTGATTATAAAAGAATAATGAAGAAAGAAATGAACCTGTTTGGATGTTGCAGGATCAGACGATAATTTCAGCGGTATCTTTGCACGTCCATTTTTGTTTTGCTGCAAACTAATTCCTAAATTTTCTTTTTTTTCTGAGAAAAAGGAATTAACTAATGAAATATCAATTGATAAAATTTTAGTTGCAGTGCATCAGAGGTGTCAGACATTTTATGAAATTCTAACTTTCCGATAATTAAACCAATTATTTCGATAATAGTGAGGCAAATGTGTTCGATTAGCTTGGCGAATTCTCTGAATTTTCTCAACCATCAATAAATTCAACGGTCGTGGTGTTTTGAAGGAAGATGCTATATATCTGAAACGCATGTTTTAAATTCACCGATAAAAATAATCAATTGATTTGATAAGAATTTGATGACAATATATGCATAATTTTTTTGTAATACACACGTAATATTTTTTAATAGTTTCGATGATAAGATAAACGAGATTGAGTAGCGTGACATAACGTAACTGATTGGATGGACACACTTTTTAATTCATTTTCTTAATACATACTTCTTTGTAGTACCTAAGTGATGTGTCATGTATTTGATACCTACTAACTTGAAATGTCACCCTTTTGTTTACTAGTAAGTAGTAGACTTGCTAGTCTCTTATCTTTCTGCGTGCTTTGGTTAATTAATTCCCATCCATATTACAAACTACCATGTAGCAGGCACTTAAAATAATTCCACTCCATGTTTTTCCGCCTATTTGAAATTAAAATTTTTACTGACATCTTTTAAAATTAAAATTTTTACTGAAAATTTTTACTGACATTTTTACAGAATCAAATGCTAATCCTTAGTTAAGCGCACTTTTCCATTCTCATATTTGAATCAGTTAAGCACATCACTCATCTTAAGCTTATCATTTTTATTTATCACGGCTGTCAATTCTAATAATTATACTCATATATTTGCATATGAACTGATAAATTACATAAACAATATGATATGATCAGTGAGTTCATTACTCTTTTTATTTCCATCCAGTCAACGTTGACACATTCCGTTTCAGTTCTATAACTTACAAAACCGGTTTAGCTGTTGAGCCAGGAGATAATGTAATTGTTTATCATCACTAATATAGCTAACCGTCCATGGTGCTGTAGTTGATCAATATTTTTGATAATCGTTTTTCCACGCGGCGTAGTTAAATGACGGACGCCAAACGGCATCGAAATGTTGCTATTCAAATCATCCAATAATGATTCAATAGTACGATATCGAGCTTTTGATACTGGTACACGAAGTCCCTTCAAAACAATAAGCAAAATGAATTAAAATCTTCATTTTCAGCAAAATCCAAAAACTCATTTATAATTCACTGAATTTTAGAGAAATCAAGAAGTCAAATGTTTTGATCCTTTTTTCTTTTTTTTTTTTTTTTTTGAAAGCTTCGGTTTTGTTCATTACCGTTTTTATGATACAATACGAGTAACTTACCGCAAAATAAATGTCGCCTTCCTTGTAAAAGAATACTGTTTTTGTAGAATATGGTCGAGTGAAGGATCGATTTGAATTGCGATAATTTTGAATTTGTCTGTTTGCCAGACTGGGTATATTAGATGGTGCAGGTGACGCATGAAGATTACCAATATCAGGAGTGGAATGATGATCAAGCGTGGAACGAGATGAAGACTAAAGTTGAGTAGTAAATTGTTATCATCTGTGACCAAAGAGATAATTTACTTTTCAAACATTAAAGTTCAAATTCTGAATCTTATCATTTCCTTGTATTCGTTAAGAAGATAAGCTTACAAGCTTTACTGATTTTCAGATGATTAAATATTTTTGGCAAAAAAAAAAAAATAAATAAATAAAAAGTTTAAGTTATAATGCATCGGTGTATATCAAGGGAAAACAAATAAATTTCTCCCCGCTCTCATTTGTTTTTGAATGTTGAACTTTTTTTAATCATGAAAGACTACCGACCCAAAGTAGCGTTGTATCGCCGTTGTCTGGATCACTCATTTTCTTTTCCCTTGCTTAGTTTAAAGTAATTATAATAGCTTTACCAATCATTGCACGCATATTTGTCTGGATATTCTGAAATTTGCATAATTTGGAAAAATTATATTGCTTAGAAACGCGAGGAATAATAAAGGAGAAGGGATAAGAATTAAATATAAGCAAAAATTCTATATGAAATTTTTGAAATGAGAAAATCTTTGAGTGAGAAACAATTAATGAATGATTCGAAATATCATTTAAAGAAAATTAACATGAAATGAATTCGGTAGGACGCAAATAAACAAATAACAAATGAAATAAATTAGTAGAAAAAAACGAAAACAAATTTTGCACTTATGTTTTGAGATGTAATTCGAGTTAATTTGTTGAACAATAAAGTTTAAAGAATTGATTGTTTGAAAAATTTGTTTAAAGATTGATAGCAGAACAAATAAAAAAAACGAGTACAGATCATGAATTTGCACAAAGAAAAAGATCTATTGAAATAAGAAATTCAGAATTGAAAGCACTGAAATTAACTCGGAACAGTTACATGAAGTCAGAAAGCAGTGATATTAGACTAATCAACAAATTATTCGCATCATATAAACCTCTAAACGAACTCACCGTAAGTTCATTTACTCATTAATTATCTAATATGAATTCTAAATCTTTAAAAAAAGCGATGACCATACTTTTTGCGCTCGATAACACAAAAACAGATGTGTCAACGGAACTTGTCCAATGTGATGCTTGTCACAAATAATCTTTTCACGATTAAACTGACAAGAAAGCAATCATCAAATTTACTGGAGTATGATAATGATAGAGAAAGAGTAATTGCCCGCATATTTCGAAAAGTTTATGGATTGAGAATTGTAAATAATTAGAAATAAAATTACAGTCTCCGTTGTTGATAACATAAATTCTCTATTTACATAAATGAAAATACATGTATAAAATGAGTGTGTTAGGCTGATCAATCTAACATATTCTACCTTTGAAATATTTCATGTCATTGTTTCTCTGTCTGTATATTTCCATTATTTAATTTATTATTTGTTAATTAATTTCGTTCTGCTGATTCCATTGCTGAAATATGCTGATCACTTCTTGTTTGCTTATTCAATTCATATTATTCAGTTATTTCTTTCATTCAAAATCATTTCATTTTCAGCGGTCGTTGGAAGTACAATTAAAACTTTATTTTATTTTTATGTCAACTGTTGTTAAAACTATTTGTGATCTATTCTTTTATATTTATTCTCTCTTTCAATGAAATACTTCATCCTAATCAATCGACACATTTTTATTTATTTTACGTATAAAAATAATCAAAGCGACAATTACGATTGCAACAAATTAATGGCTTTCTTAGCAATGCTTATTGTTATTAAAATAGCTGCAAAAAAAAAGAAAATTACAATAAAAACACAGTAGAAAAAGGAAATGTTAGCAATTAGAAAACTTATTATTATTTCACGTTTTTTACAGCAAAACTATTAATCTTTTAGGTTTGAACTTACATGTCATCATTGACATATATATAGCAAAAAAAAAAAAAAATGAATTGTAAATTAATCTTCTCTTGAAACGAAAGTGCTAAATGAGCTTGAAAAATCGGAGGTTTTCTGAAAGTTAAATGGCGAGAACCTTCTACTTTAATCATTTGCTAAATTTCAGCGTCACATCCTTCCGGATTGAAGCTAAAAATTCCCTATTACTGGACGCAAGAGTAAGCTAACTTATATATATAGGCACGCATATAAACATATATACGTCTTTATTGCTCATTAACGTTCCTATGGAAACAAATGTTTTCAACATCCAACAGCTAAGAGATAAAAATTTCATACCACAGATTAAATGTTAAATTCTGACATTATTGCTCATTGCAGTGGATAATGAATGATTCCATGAAGCTTGGCAATATGCGCCATTTTACGCGATAGAAGCGAATGAGCGCACTTTGTAACATACTAACTAGTTAGACTCCGTTGAAAACTTGTCTAGATATTATTATACTTGCAAATTAAAATAATAAATAAATAAGAATACATTTTTTTCTTGAATTAAAATTTATGAAATGAAGGGTGCACTTCAAAGAATACAATGTGCTACGTACTATGATTTTTGTAGCAGAGTTAAGCTCAATCTGTGAAATGTGGCTTGAAATGTAAAAAAGTTACATAATATCAAACTTTGAATGTCAATGCGATAATCCCTTGATCACTTTATGTTTACATCATTATACCACTGTTTTACTTCAGTTGAATTGGTTCTACTAGCAAGTAAAATATATTATCAATACAGTTCCATATTCATACTATCATTTGGACAAGTCTTAGCTATAAAAAAAAAAAAAAAAAAAATCACTGAAAGCTTACCGCAATGAAAGTACTAAATTATAGACCATAATAATTACCCAAGGATAATTAAAAGGTGTGTAATTTATGAGATAATACTTATGAGCAACTAAATTTAATTACATATTTTGATTAGATATTTGTTAATAAAGATGAAATGTTTATTTCCTCTACAAATAATGTCTTCGAGCTGTCAAGTTTCTATAATTGAAATGATTTGCTGTCACCTGTCAAGCATACAATCATGCAATTATTACCAATTGCTTTGCTTACGATGTCACAGTTATTTGCGAATAAACTAAATGATGCAAAAGTCTGTTAAGCGAATTAAGAGTTAATGTAAAATTAATGTGAATAAAGTAAGGTAGCATCAGTGTAAGAATGATGCTTCGAGAATTTAAATTTTACATGAAATTTGATTTAAAAATCATTTTTTGCAACTAACAGTATCAAATATGGCATTTTAATGTTACATTTGGTCTGCGGTATATGAAGTAATCAGAGTATGCTTCGATGAGATGCAAATTGAAATCGTAAATCATTGTTACTATCATTTGTCATCACTATCGCTATTATAACTATCACTATTTTACACAGAAATATTCAGAATTTTTGTACTGAACTATAATCTTTTGTTACTGCCAATAGTACGACAAAAAATTAATACTACTAATTTCAAGCATAAATTTCAAATTGATATTAAACTTCTGTTAGGAATTGGTCATAAAAGAAAATTTTGAAGTAAGATAAAAAATATTCAGTAGTAAAATTAAAGAAGGAAAGAAAGTATTTAATTAAAAAATTAAATTCTAACATATTATATTCTTATCGTTCAGTCACCGGCTTAATCTTTAAAAGTGATAGATAAACAAGTGATCTTTCATAAATATGGTAGAATTTGCTTTCTTATGCTTTTCTCTTACCATTTAATTGCATCATCGATAGAAGTATGAAAGTCGTTGATCAAAGAAAGTAATTTCTTTTTAGATTTACGATTACGATATTAGAAGAAGATGAAAATTAAAATTATTTCTGGTCTACAATAATTTAGTCAAATTTTCTTCATTGGGTTCTAACATTCAAAAAGTTCATTAGCCAAGAATTATGCAGGACATTACTTTCACAGTATTCATAAATTTAGTTTGAGCATAATAGATACTTACTATTTTGGAAAATGTCAAATCTATGAATAACTTTTTAAGCTAGAAGGAAGTATGATATTTCTTTCCATTGCTCCTCATTAACATATGTCTCGAGATGGTCATTTCTGATAGAATAGTAATATATTTCTGGGCAATGGAAGCTTAACGTAAGTTAGCACACCACCAGAGAGGTCTAACTATGCTGATGACCATCAATGACATTTAATCTTTCAGCATTATTTGGCAACAGATAGCAGCACCTTTGTCGTATGGTTTCGAATTACCGCATGCTCCGAAGCATCATACAGCGCTTTTCACACTCGACTACGGGATTTTTGGATATCAAATTATATGTGATTCTGGAAAGGACCATGGACTGAGTAGAAATTGAATAAAAGAGTTTCTGGATTAATTGAAAGTAAATTTTGAAAGACCGTAATCCAAAGTAGGATTTATATGAAGAACATTAGCAAGAAAGCGAAGCGATACGGTGGATGGTAAAAGCAGAAGAAGAAATTTCGGCAGACCCTACGAAATGTCTCTCTCTCTCTCTCTCTCTTGTCTCGTTCACTTCTAAACCATTCACACTTCATTTCTCTCCCAATTTATTTCTCTCTCTGCAATACTTCTCCATAAGCTACCATAATACCAGTGAGATTAGTTTTCAGTTACAGCATGCTAACATTCACATAAACTAAACTATCACCAGCCACTTCCAATCATTCAACTCTTTGGATCATTCTTTGCATCAGCTCAACTCATTTCTATCTTTTCTATGGCTCAACAATCACAAACTTTCCTACTAAAAACAGAATTGAAACTTTCATCCAATCTTCAGCAACACTCTTCCACGAGGTAAGATAAAAGTATGTATTTATTTACACAGAAGCGCATATTGTTTAGGTCTTCTGTGCTGATTGCATACTATGGGTGGTCCTTTGAGCTATGTTTGTATATAAGTCTCTAACTCAAATTGTGTTTATTTCCCAATTTGTGATAAACTGTTTAGGTTCCCTAACAGTGTCATTCTCATTTCCACAAAAGCACTTTTTAAGTTATTTTCACTTTCTTGAAATTTCGACTTTCTTGAATTTTCACTTTCTTGAAAAATTTGCAAGTAATGCAACTTTCAACTCTTCTTAAAAGCTTAATCAAATATTTTAATGGATCTGATGATATGAACTTTAAATCGCTATTTTTGAGTCGAAATTCTATTTAAACAATTTAAGTTTCGGAATAATAAATATATTTATTTATCGGAATTTATTACTGACACTTTCCTCAAAGAACAACGATTCCGAAATTACATTTTATATTTCAACAATTTCAACTAGTCTTTTTGAATTTGAAACTATCACTTAATTTGTCCATAGCCAAACGCTATTTTATTTTAATTCAGATTTCTTATCATCCAAAATCTCTGCTTTCTATTTATAAATATATTTATTATATAAATAAATATAATATAAAAAAAATAAATATATTTATTATTCCGAAACTTAAATTGTTTAAATAGAAAGCAGAGATTTTGGATGATAAGAAATCATAAAGTTGTTGCATGAAATTATTCCTGTATCAAACATATCCATTGCATTTTAATTAACTGTTCTAAAATTCGAATTTCTGCATTCGAAATTCAAGTTTTATCAAAATCAGAAGTGGTAAATTAGCAGATCTCAAAAAAAAAATTGTCACTTTTAGAATTATTTCTTATAAAATAGGTGTATCCATCACTGATTATTTATACGTATATATTTATAGCGAGCCAATCTCCAATTCACTTGGTCCTTTACAATTTAAAAGTGAAGATGAAGATGAGAAAAGTGTGGTCTGTCGACGGCGAAGCGGTAAACGGCAGGAGAAACCGCCGTATTCTTACATTGCTCTCATCGCTATGGCAATACACGCAAAACCGGACCGGAAAGCAACACTTACTGAGATTTACGCTTTCCTTCAGAGTAATTTCGACTTTTTCAGAGGTGTATTTCATCATTTGAGTTAATCTAACGCAATGATCTCGATCACTTAATTATCTTGCTAGAAGAAGTTGGATATTCTGCTTAGAAATCTTAATCCTTCATTTACTAAATTTTATTGAACAACATCGAAAAAAAGATTTGCCCGAAAAATCTAAATTAGATTAAAAATCTTTAATATCATTTATTTTCCTAATTCATTATCCAATGTTTTAATCAAGCATTTTTTACTCATTCAATGACATCGCTCGTTGGTGGTACTTATTCATCAAATTTTCAGGAGAATATAATGGTTGGAAGAATTCTATTAGACATAACTTATCACTCAATGAGTGTTTTATAAAATTACCAAAAAGTTCGGGCGGCCGAAGTGGTAAAGGACATCAGTGGACGATCGATCAGAATTGCGAATTTCTCTTTGAAGAAGGCTCGTATCGAAGGCGACCACGAGGTTATAAAGCTCGTGTACGAAATTGCGATTATCCAAATGGACAGGTATGCCAATTAATTTATCGTTACTTAGACTCTCTACAAGTCGAAAGATCAAAGAATCTTTTTCTAGTCCCAAACTTTATTTTCAAACTGCTGGTACAGCCAAATATTTAGCGAAGTTGGATTTTCCGCATCAGTCCAGTATTTCAGTTAGAACCAATTTTTGTCGAAACCAGTACCGTGCCTATTAGCAACAATATGATCGCCGTTGATGGGACACATTTCGTTACACAGCAACAGAACTATCTGCCTCAATATACGGCCAATGCATTCTGGCCTCATTATGAATATGCAAATCAATGGCCAAATAGTTATGGACTAGCTTCATCAACAGTGAACAGCTATGCTGCCTATGATAACATGCAAACAATTGCACAACAGCAACAAACTGATTATACGGAAGGTTGTCCAATGGTTATGATACCAAGTGATTTATCTGGTGATCCAGATATGTTTGTCAACGAACAACAACAGCATGTTAACTTGTCACAGTTCGACACTTCTTCCCAGCTCTATAATCAGTATGCAAATTTACCATCACCACATCAAAACTCATGATTTTATTTTTTTTTAAACTATGGGAAACTATTGATTGTGTCGATAATCACTTAAGCTTGGAGCGTTCCGTGTGATATATTCAATCATATGAAATAAAATTGTATGCCAATGTTATCGAAAGCTTTGGGATGCTATTCTTCCAGCAATAAGTCATTTTATTATACGAAGAAATTTCAGAAATGAAATACAAAAGGTAGCAATAGTGAAGGGTTTCCCTTTATTTTAGTGGAATATCTCACTAAGAGCCGTGATGCAACCTGCTGAAATCCTTTTCCTATTTCAGTAAAAGTTTAATAACTCAAATATTAATACAACATATGACAGTGTCATTATTGAATGATAATTCCTCTATAAACTGAATTAACGAAGTTTTCTTCAACACTACTTCAGTAATTTCAGTCTTTATTTTTGTAATGATAGAAATTATATCGTAACTTCTTCTGATACCAAAACGAAATTCACGCATAGTTCCTTCCTTTATCTTTATTCATTAACAAAAAAACTTTTTTTTTTAATGCATCCAAAGTTCGAAATTATCAAGTCTATTATCATTATTATTTTAAATTTTATTTCTTACTATCATGCAGCTGTATTTCTTGCTTCTATGTATATCAAGAAATGATTAAAATTAAGTGACCAGAAAATTATTCCTAGAAAATTGAATTTTCATAACTTAAGGGAAAAGGAAGTGAAAGTACAATAGGCCCAACTGAAAGTAACATTGCTCAACAGTGTCAAGTTGCACGAAAAGTATGAAATCGTAGAATCAGTGCATTTATTTATAGGATATCCTAACTGCTCTTGCAAAACATGCAGTTTACCTGGAGATGAACAGGTAACTCAATCAACTTATTAATGACACATAATAGAACCGCTGAATTCAGGTAATTATTTTCGCTATGTATCTTTTAGAGTCAAATGAAATTTTTTCTGTGAAAGAGAGTGTTTACAAAGTAAGCAGTGAAGCAAAATTATTGACATCATATTGCTATATTGAAGCAGCAATTCAGGATTCAGAACGGATTTCAAATCCTCAACGATTCTTTACGGTTGAAGTTCTTTTGCTTGTAGTAAACCTTTCTTCTTTTATTTTTGAAACTAAAAGTGGTTGATCATCAGATGAAGGCCGAAATGAATTAGTTGCTTGCGTCAGCAATCTTCTCCTGAAATTCAATTTGTTGAAAATATTATCAAATTCAACAAATTATCAGATTTCTTCGAACTACTTTATATGAAAAAATCACAAAAAAACTGACCAATCTAACAGATGTACGAAAAAGATTGGTCTGTTAAAAAAAAAAAAAAAAAAAAACACGGTCCTCTCAAAAGTTCCATTCAAAAAATTTTTTTAAAAACCAGCCAAACATATCATCAAGAAAGTATATCAGATTGTAGAAATGTTAATAATAATTTGTTAATGCTAGAAAGAGGTCAATGCAATGAAAATCTCTTCAAACTTCCACACATCTTATTATTGCGCAAAATTACGCGCATCAACTATCCGATTTCATCGATTATTGCTTTTTCAATAAGGCTATCTGCTCTACTTCACTCAAGCATCATTGTCAGAGTAGTAAAGGAGTAACTGATACATTTGAATCTGTGGAATAATCATACTTGGGTACTGCAGAATTAGGAATGATAACTGGTACTCTCTCGAATGCATCCGTATTGGAACATTTAACCAGCAATAATAATTCTCTCTTCAGATCAAATGAAAAATAACCATAAAGGTATGGCGAAATTGCAGAATTAAATACGGCGAATGTGTATAGCAATTTCCGAATAATAGCCGGTATGGGACTGAAATGTCATTTGTTTATATTTCTTTAATTTATTTTTTGTATAACTATTAGCTAATGGGTTTTTTCAAATAACCAAAAAAAATTTTAAGGAAAATTCCTAAAAAAGAATTTTTAAAATGTCCTATAGTAAACATTGAAGGCTTAATTGAAATCTTTTTTTTTTTTTTCGAGAGATTATAAATACTGCAATATAGCTGATTCATGGTTTAACTTTATGTGATACTTCAGGTAGAAGAGTTCGCTTTTAGCATCTAATTAAAGAAACTGATAGTTAACCTTGGTTTTATAGTGAAATGAACCAATGAAGCAACTGCATAAGGTGTCCAACACAACAGAAATGCAAATACCACGACAAATGTCATCTTCAACGTTTTACTTTTGGCACGTGTATAAGTCTCACCAGAAGTTCGCAGCTTCGTTGTTGAGATACCAATAAAATTTAATTCTATAATTCTTTTTCTTAGAAATTTAAAGGAAAAAAGAAAAATAATGAGATTGATAACAACTAAACAACTAAAACCTACCGAATATTATTTTTATTTGATTTTTATGTGAAGGCTAAAAACACTATAGATGGTGAGATGAGTTGCTGAAAGGATGTAGTAGTTCAATTTCTCTATAAAATAAAAAGATCACAAACTATTCTCAACCAGGGAAATTGCAATCAACCTTTCTTGATTGACTAATTACAAACTATATGTTTGATTGATGATACATTAATCAGAAGTGACCACATGGAAGTCACATTTAACAACATTTTGCAGTATTATATATTCGTTTTCATAAATTTTCAAATCACAATTCACTTGTCGAATTCACTTGTCGGGTACTCAGCACTTTAGTTTCACTTTTAGAAGAGATTTTATATAGTATGAACGAGTAACAAATAACCGTTATTATAAGCGGCAATAGAGAAACCTGAAAATAAAGAATTAGAATTAAAGGGAAATAATTTGAATGGGTCAGCCAATTTAGATTAAGCTGAAATGAGTTCAAATAAGCTGAAGTGATAAATATAATACTAGTATATTTATAAAATACTGAAGACAAAATAAATGAATTAAACAAATCAAAATGCAAAAATATTAATTGGATGATTAATTAAAATTCAGATGCAACCTCATAAACTGCGTGTTAATTATTAGTGCTGAAAAATTTTTATTGTCACTCAAATAGCAGAGATTTCTTTTTTGCATTTTTTCTCAGTGAAGAATCTTCCTTCTCTAATGATATTTATAAATGGTATTTTTCTTTTTTTAGGAAGCTTTTCTTCAGCAATAAGTCATATAATGCCTAAAAATTAGCAGTGATATGAATGAATCATTCATGAATTGAAATTATATTCGTTTACGTATTGGAACAATGAGACAAATGATCGAACACTTTTAACGTTAATTTAAAAAAAATAAAAATAGTCCGATTTCAAGTTATTACTTTTACTAAGCTTACCTTAAATAACTTAACTTATTCTGAATTTTAAGTGAAAATTTCTTCCTTTCAATATCTCATTTCTTTTTTTATCACAAGAACACTTCATTTTTTGGTATATGTTCGTGTATTAATTATGAGAATGTCTAGTGAGACAAGCTAAGTGTCTTTGTCAATTTCAGATGCATTTAAATTCAGTTAAATTCAGTATCAATGCTCAAAATTGAAGTGCATTTGAATCAATCAATCAAACAGCATTAGACCAGAACATCTGAATTGTAATGAACTGAAGTAATTATTATTGAATAACTTGCCGAACAATAGTGTAATATTTATTTAATGTCAACCTGTGAAGGAGAAGTATTCTTTGATTGCTATTTAGTTTTTTTTTTTTTTGCAATTTGAAAAGATTCATTGTAGGGAAGGAAGAGTTGTACAATTCTCAATCATAAAATTTGAAACGTTATGTGGTTTCCCTACCGCAAACCTGTGTAAGATTGGCTATGGTATAAGCAAAAACAACATCATGTGATACAGCGCCAACGAAATCACCTGACACACATTGTATAAACCATTTTGCGCATGGATGAGATGACGTACGGAATAAGGCAGCCTAAAATAGAGGAAGCAGAACATTCTTTTGTAAAATTGGTTACTTTAATTTAATTAAAGAAAATTAAAAGAACAAGTATTTTAACCAAATTTTGTTTGCGTTAGGAAATTGTGAAAAGTAATTTCACCTTTTTCAAAAAATGTTATAGTATTGCTTTAATTGAGCAAAATAAAATCGAATAGCTATGGTATAAGCAAAAACAATATCATTTTAAAGGTTCAGCTAATTCAGTTTAGATTTACTTGTAAGTAAGACCATACCGCTGGAATACTTATCACGAAACTGATAATCCAGGCGACAGCAATCATCCTTTGTATCGATTTTTTAGCATTTAATGTATACAGCGGTGAAAATATTGAATAAAATCGATCAAGACTTATACATATCAACATATTAGCCGCTAAACTGTTGCCAAAGTTATCAAAAAATTTGCATATTCTGCATAACTGCAACGTTGTAATTGCTGCTTTATATTTTTGCGAAGTATAAAGATGGTATTCATTACTTACTTTTTATCATTTCATTTGGTAAAGTTTTTAACGTAACTTTTAACGCTTAATTTGATCCAAGGCTAAATAAATAATATTCGTTTGTCATTCTCTGAGAGTGGTTAATTATGCAGTACTATTTGTTCCTCTGTACAACAAAAAGCGCTTGCTGATTTTGGTGGCGTTATTGGCAAGAGCGGTATTCACGGCAACACAAGTACGTCATTTTCAGTTCTTATCAGATTTTGAAACTTTAAAACCAAAAAACTAACGAAATCACTGCCCCACCATGCAACTGTTATGCTATGTATTACTTCTTTCGGCATATAAATTAATGTAACAATAAGATGTGCAATATTCATATGTAATAATAACGTATGTACTCGGCGAACTTTGACACGCTGATTCCTAAAAAGTATCTATATTAAAATGGTTGTTCGAGAACGGTGACAATTAATTTAACCTGCAACGTGGGACACACTGACGTACCTGATCAAAATAAGGAACATTGTGCCATTACCGATGAATGCGATGCAGAAACAAATGGAATAACAAATGAATGTAAAATAATGCATGGAGGTTAATATTGCCCGCGGATGCGACCGAGGATCTGAGCAGTTCAGTGTCATCTCTTCCAAGTTGTTTGTCGTTTATTTACCTAGATATGTGATTTGAATTTCTGAAGTAACAAGAGAAAAAATGATGTAGAAGTAATTTTGTCAATTCGAAATAATCTTGACAAGTCATGTTATGTATCGCTCTAATTCATAGCTCAATTAGTAAGAATTATGGCAGAAAATCACAAAAAATTCTTGTTGAAATCTAGAAAGTAACGAGAGGAAAATGATGTAGAAGTAATTTTGTATTACTTTTTTGCAGATAAAATTTTATTTAAAATAAATGTTGACAGGAATTCACAACAAGTAACCAAAAAATGGGAAGAAGAATGAGATGAGAGAGCGATTCCATTTGTTATGTTTATTGCACCATTTTCCCAATTCGCATTCATTTGTCATTTCATTTCATGCTTCATTTTGGAGGTGCATTTTTTAACTGATTCTTCTTAGGAAGATAGGAATTTATTAGCATATTGCATTTGGGAGCAAAACAAAACTGTGTACTCTCAGAATATCATTTTATTACTTTCAACCATTTCACCGTCATTTGTTGATTATCGATTTTTTCCTTTCGTTTGTTTCACAATCAAAGATATGATCTGCTTTTATGAAGCATAAATGGTAATTTCTGGTAAAACTTTATCGCATATGCAAATAACAAAAATAAGATAAGCCAGAGTTTCGGAATCAATCCGAAATTTCAAATGAAAACGAGACGATTTCTATTGTCGTATTTTCAGAGTTTTCTCATGTTTATGTATTTTTTGCTGTCAATGTCATTGTATTCTTTTCATATGTTTTCATTTCAGCGAGTACTTTTCTTAAACTGAACATGGAAAAATGCCGAGTCCTTTCTACCTGTCGTATTACTATTATCTTCCATTCATAACAATCCCTTCATATCATCTTCTGTGGCAGATGTTAATTAACTTCATTCCATTTGCATAAAAAAATTATCTAAAAATGTTTTCGAAATGGAAAAGCATAATCATACAAATTGAGGTCTATTAAATGAGCTTAAATATAATATAAAAGGCATAAAAATTGTAGATATCATTATCGATTTTTTTTTTAAGGAAAAGCTTAGAAAATATTTGGTAGGTTCTTTTCACTGGTAAATCGTCAAACAGATCGATGAATGAATTGATTGATGATCACGTCATCTGAATTTCTTTCTTCTCATGTTTAATGAAAGTCGTAAATCCTATGCAACCAGACAGAAAAAGCAATTTCGCTGCCATATAAATTTTTGGTTTTCTTCTTCTATTTAAACATATTTGCGAAAGATTTTAATGAAAATTTAAAATACCTTATAGAATCTCAAGGATATGCGTACATATATATTTTAAAGTAATTTTTTCTACTTAGACAATGACATGCGAAAGCTCAGCTAATTGTAAGGTGCTTTTATTTATAGAAACAAATAAATTAAATTAAAAGTAATATACTAGCAGGTTAAACTGGTCGAATGCTTCTTTAAAAATATCAACTTTAAGCAAGCGATATGAACTAAAAAAGATTAAAATGTCGAAGTTAATATTATCACCTATTAATGCACACTTTGTGCCATTTGAAAAAGGAAATAAATCGAAGCCAATAATGAAGAAAGGATTCATTTGTACAACACACATTTCCCTGGCAGTCTTTCTAATTAGCATATATCAATCATTCCTGACTTCAAAAAATAAAATTGAAAGTCTAAGAATAAGTTGTAAGACTTTTTTGACCTTTACATGATTCATTACCATTGCATGAATTTGAAGATAGATAATCAACAATTTGATTTCTTATCACGCAATGGAACAGCATGGACCAAAACTTATCGATATTACTGTGAGGCCATCTAAGGTTAAATTTTATGAAATTATCAAAGTAAGGCTAAGATGAAGTTTGCTTTTCATTACCACTGTGTAAATTAAATCTAACAAATTTTAAATATGTAAATGAATAGGAGAATAGATGAATAAATGTGCAAAATATAGAACTAATACAAAGTCATCCATCCATATCATTAGCCCGGAAAAGGTTCTGTTTGAATTTTTAATACTTAATGATTCATATGCATTTCTAGGATATGGATGACTTTAATATTTTATGAAAGTTTAATGATTAGAATTATTGATAAATACTTCATGAACCGTCGAAATACCGACAATATCAGGAGCTAAAAGTTTGAACTGAAAGAATTTTTTTGATTTTTTATTTAGAAGCTTATGAGCAAAATCATCATACATTGCTTCGACAAAATTTTTGTTTACAGAACTTCGATACAAACCTTTTTTTATCTTTGTTTCAGACGAACACACTAATCATAAATTACAGATTCAAAAATTATTTGTAAATATGATTTTAATAGGAGAAAAATAGCAATAGTTGGATGTGATAAAAATGGTAACATTTTTTGTCCTTAATCTTCTACTTATTATATCTAAATGACAAAACAAAAAAAAAAAAAAAAGAATGAAGAAAATACTGGCCAGCAAAATTTAACCATTTTAAGCCTACGAAAGTCTTCTAAAAATCATTTCAGAAGACGTTATCTTCTTGTCATTTAGCATTTAAAGCATTTTCAATTCATGACAGATTCCTATTAGTAGCCCGGAAAGATTTTAAGCTTCTTTGAAGCTTATAAAACACAAAAGACTCATGCAAAAACTCGGTTCTCATTACTACCTAAATTAATTATGGGAGTAAAAGCGTAGCGGTAATGATTATTTGAAATGGACTGGATGCATTGTTAAGTCATTTCATTTCTTTTTTGCTAATTAAAATGCAGAAGTAGGAGAGTTACAGAAAAGAAGAAATATAAGAGTGGAAGAAAATTAAGTTCTGACCAGTTCATCTGTGCTATAGTCTGATGATACTCGGATTAAATAAAGAAATCTATTTTGTTTATTTGAAAGACTGAATTGTGAAATGAAAGGTTTGTTAATTGAAATAACTAAGCTTGTACTGAATGAGAAATGTATGATAGTGAATTAATTCATTGTCGTGCTAGCGTTCCGTAAAATGCAAATTTATCATTATTCATCGAAAACAGTATATTTCTGCTTTTAATGTTTTTCTGTCATATTAAATTCTCTTTTTTGATATTCAAAAAATAAAAGAAATGATTATAAATCAGTTATTTATTTTCAACTTAAATTGTAGAAAATTACTTTGTATTTGTCAATTTATATGCATAGTATTGGTGGCTTCATAGTTTTAGAATAATATAAAGAATTGAAATGAACTGAATTGTAATAGCAGTATGAAATTAAGAAGTGGTATTTTGTTTCATGTTGCAATGCTTATAAATCAGCTCATAAAATTAAATGAAAAAACTTACGGAAGATTGTCAAGGTTAATTTTGATTAAAAATTATTTATTTACCTAAAATGAATATTTAATGAGCTTTTAAGTCATTCAAATGGAAACTGAAAGAGTGTCTTCCATACAAAACATACTTACAATTATTGAGACAATCGGATCTATTGCTAATGTCCATAGAGGTAATCAACAAATTCAGCTAAAAATTATACGAATTTATCGGTTACAATCAAAAATATTTCAAATGCATCCATAATTTCATTGTCATTTTGCTTCCCTTTTCTCCTCTGAATATAAACCAGTTTGCTGAGAGTTTATCTGATTCTTTTATTTTATGAAAACAGATCATTGTTTTATATACATGAACTGCACTAAAGCATTTTTTTAATATTTCAATCAATATATGAATATATCAATATATCTTATATGAATTAAAAAAAGAGACATACTTAGGTAAACAATAAATAACTATTCAATAGGCTTCAATTATCGAATGCAGCACGAATTTTCATGGAAAAAAAAAGACGTAGCAAAAAAAAAAAAAAGTAATGTGCGAAAAGATATTAGAATGATAATATATATATTTATTTGTCATAATGGCATTCCATTTTGCTTTCTATATTTTCCAAAATGACATCATAATTGATTTGGCTTTGTTTCGATTAAATATGATCGTGAAACATTAAAATTTCTATTTTTATCAAAATATCAAAAGACGACACTACTATTTTTAGGTAAAAGTTATTTTGCATTTTTTGAAAAGCACTAAATCATAGCAGGTTGTGCTATTTACTTGGGCGCAGTTAGCTATCCAACTAAAATATGAATCGTTAGTTGCTGAGAGCTCAATATTCTTTCAAGTAGCTTTTAATCAGAAGTGCGTTTCAAAAACATTTTCGTCATTTTCAAATTTTATTTTATATGAAAAAGACTTAATATCAAGCGTAAAAAAATCATAAAATTCTGTGAAGAACGTCCAAAGATCGATGCTTTTAACCAAAATGGCAAATTTCTAAGTTCATTTTCAAATTGTGATTTAGAGCATTGTAGAAGGGAAAAACAACTTCAAAAAATTTATATCCGATGTTCTTTAACTAACACATAAATAGCTAAAACTATTACTATAGTTTATGGCTTTCGATTATTGGTAAAAGTAAGCTTTGATTTTGCCGTCTATTTAAGCGTACGTCGTTTTTATAACGTAAGTTATCCTTAAAATTCAGAAAAAATTTTCGAAACGGACATGGAACAAGAACAGGAAGTAATGATTTTATCGATGACACAAAAGTCGACGACAAATCGACAGAACAATCATTTTTAGGTAATAAAATTAGTTAATTTATCTTTAAATAAATTCCAATTGGGGTGATATTTCCAACAAAATTTAGGTTGCTCAATCATTTTTCGGTTTTCTTTTCATTTAAGTATAATATACAATCATAAAGCATTATTTTACCCGTAAGTTTCTTTTTTCGAGGGCGGAATTGTCATGTCTTCCACAATGCTTGAACAAATGAGCCTAAATGAAAAGCGATAATAATGAAATAAGGTAAGGTTAGCAAACAGGTGGGGAGATGAGATATTTGTGTGTAGAAGGATCCTTAAACAAATAAGCAGTGCTACAGATAGATAATCGAATGCAACATAAACAAGGAAATAGCTGGCTGGATTGAACAAACAAATAATTTTTAGACAAATTCTATTTCGGAACAGCGAAAAATGCCGTTGGAAAGAGTGACCAGCAATTGCAAATGGCTTTGAGTGCAAATGACAGGAAAAGTGGTTCACTTTAACGTCAAATTTTTAGACGTACGTTGAAAATGTGCTTAATTCTTCAGGAAAAGACTGATAATAAAATTCGACAATCATGCAATGTCGATGAACACTTCGATATACTAATAAGTCTTTTATAGTTTAATGATATGTCTTATTAAACGAAACTTTTACGGTTTACCTGCTGGATCGATTTAATTCTTGACACGCTATCTTTTGTATTTACTTTACCGTTCGTTCTTATGGTCAGCGCACATGTCTTCATAATATAATGTCCATATCGTAATTTTTTTTAGTGCAAATATCAATTGAAGAGCTAAATTTTAGGAAGTAAAAAATATGAAATCGTTATTCTAGGATGAGTTAACACCAGTATATGTATCCATCCGTCTCAAAAAATAACGATAACAATTCTACTCACTGAGTTGATAAGAGATACGTTTTATTTCTTCGCGGCGCTTTTTCAACAGTCTTTTTTATATAACAGCTTTGCAAACATGTAGTCACATATTGAATATAACTGCATCTACGTAAGACGTACACATCAATTCCTAAGCTATCCGAAACATGAATCGCATTTTGAATCATATTATTAATTTTGGAAAAGATCGATCGCAGAACATCTTCCTACTTTCTTGAATAACAGTTCATTTCCCTTTTTATAATAATGTTGGCATATGTTCGAAAATTCCGCAACAGATGTTACAGGTGTTACATGTATTTCTAGGAAGTAAATGATATACCAGCATGTATGTTGTTATATAATGTATGCAGAGTGATTATTAGAAGTAATTTAGAGTAAAGTTAATTAAACAAGGCACGTTAACTTGCTAATGCTGCACGTCAGTTTCAGTTGGTAGAATGAAAATAGATTGGGTCGGGAATGTATCAAATGTATCAGTTTGTTTTTCTTCATTTTGCTGCTGACATTGTCCCTTTTTCAAAATTTAATTTATCTTAATTGTATTTAATCGAAGTTATTTAAGTTGTGAATCAGTTCTGAGTTTCACTTCTGTTTTCTTGCAGATGCTTCCACTTTTGTATTGATCTCTGTGCTATCTTTTTTTTTTTTATTATTTATGTTGTTGTAGCATTCCCAGTTCTTTTCATTTCCACTCAAATGGTGTTACCGTGACACTGGAAGACCGAGAAGAGCGCACAACGAAGTCATGCAAACTGCGCAGGCTCAGCACGACATCCAGTAATGAGGTTCTCGGGAGGGCAAGTTTTGAGGAGTGAATGTAGGCGAAAACACTGATAAAGTTGTTATTGTTGGTCAGTGTTGTCCGGCAGGTCAATTCAATTATGCCAATAGTAATAGTATGCCATTAGGAATGAATCTACGGTATTCAATTCAGTAAGAATGAAAAAAGAAATGTCGAAGGTCAGACATCGTCACAAACGAGAATCAAAGCTTCTACCGCTGCACTTAACAGTTCGGACTGTTGACATGCCATGAATTATCTAGCCATCATTATGATTTATGCGCTAAAATGATTGATTAATGTAAAGGAAGGACCCTTAGATAACAAAAAGAAAGTGGAGAAGTCGACGATCGGAATTGTTCGGAAATGTTTCACTAATATGAGTAACATTCAGTTCATACATTAGTTGAATAAATTCACAAAAGGTGTGTTTTATGATGAAGCAAAAAAAGGATGTAAGGGATGACCTTTGAGCTGCAAGGTCAATGGAATTCTGACTCATGGTTATTGCAAGAACAGTCATTCGTTATTATTATGATGAATGAGACTATGTACGGAAGTAGGGTTATCTTGCATCATTTATGGTATACTTTCATAGTATGAGAGTAACAGTATTAAAACTCCCTCTAAAATACATGACCTTTGAACCTCGGGACAATACTATTTAATCTTCTTTGAATTCCCCAACAGATTTCAAATTGATGTGAACAAGAAGGTTACATTACAGGATGTTATTATTGGGTAAAAACGAAGTTGTGACCTGTCTCAGTATTAATAAACAAATTGTGTAAACACAAACTATTGACTCTTCTGTCCTTTATGTAAACATTAGAAGAATCAGTTGCATGCCTTATTGCACGTGTGTGTACGTGTCTGTGTGTCTATATGTATGTTTATGTGTGCGCAAATAGTACTAACAATATTGTGCACACCGCCAAATTAACTGGACAGGTCAATCTTCTAGTGAACATTCTACACTATCCATCTCCAAAAAGTATTATTCAAAAAATGTTGTCATGATAGCATAATATTGCAATAACCCTTACCAAACGAACCTCTTCTTTTTTAGTGAAATTTCACGCCATCCTGTTTGACATCTGTCATTAGATAAACTAAAGTGTAGTAATGAATGTGGCGGTAGGAACAAAACCGCCATGCTGTAGCACTTTAATTAAAAGATGCGGTAAGCGACGATTACATTGTGGAACTGACAGACAGAGCACAAAATGTCCTGGAATTACCATTATTATGCATCTCGATAGTTCTTAAGCCTCTTTAGCGGCATTACTGTGACCTCTTCAAGGAAAGGTCAAAGCTATCAACAAAAGCCATCTATCTCATTTATCTTCCATTTATTTCCCTCATGCCATTGCTGCAATCAGAGAAGGATGACCTCTACTTCTTAAGGATATAGTGATGACAATGCAATGACATATAAGCGAAATAATTCGCTTAGGCTTTTCTTTTTTCCTTCATATTTTCACCTAATATCTATGCAATGTGAAGTGCATAACAACGTCCACGACAAAATATACTTTCGAGTGGACAAATTTCATTTAATTTGTTTCATTATTGAAATAAGATAAAATCATTCTGATTGATCGAATAGGCGCATTTCTTTTAAAAGAACCAAAAGATCAACTGAAAATTTCCTATAATTTGAAAGAGTTTATGATCGACTGTCAAGCATAGACGAGAAAAGTATTTTATGTGTGTTTAAAATTAATATCATTTCCCGCATAAACTTGGAAATAACAACACGATAAATTCAAAGATGCTTTAAAGATATGAATTCTTTATCTCTCTTCAGCTTCTATTTTTTAATTAATAAAATCAGGAATTCCTGTTAAAACAACTGAATGAGTCATTTATAAAAGCACCTACAAAATAATATATATTAATTATTATACTATTCATAGAAAAGTAGCAAACTTTGAGCAAAGTGAAACTTCTAAGCTATACTATACAAATCATTTAACCTTTCAGTCTTTTAACTTTATTATCAGACTTTTTCATAACGAAAATCAATTTGCACTGTTTAACATTCATTTTCATTACAAGTAAAATTGGTGAACTGAAATAAAGTAATCTCAAACAAATAGATCGTTTCCAATCGATCAGCTGTCATAAGTTTTATTGCTGAGTTCGGCCTTGATTTCCACTTTCATAATGAAACATCTTCACCAACTAATAACATAAAATGTTTACACACCCTCATTCTCGGCAGATGGTTTTCCGAAGACCACTAATGACCTCAGTGATAATTTGCCAGCAAAAAGGTGATGATGCGCATTAGCGATAACACCCGACGACCTCAGCGCTGTATGATGTTTTATGTTCAGTGGTTTGACCATTGCTCAGACGACGATCTTATCTCCTTCGTCACTCAATAAAGGTTATGCAATTTGCATATAGACGTTGCACCCCACCTTTCGACCTTTTGCGCATGAGTTGAGTAACAGGTTGCCCTTTCATGACCAAAGAAAAAGAGACAACAGAAATCAATTCGAGAGCATTATCCCTCTTCCTCAACAAATGACATAAGGGATATATAGGCTGTTGCACAGAGGCGGATCCTTTCGAAAGGTCAACTCGGGGCGGGGTCAAGTTCCGACTCGAGCTCCAGTTCTATTATGCTCTTTTCTGTCCTATTCTGTTACTGTTTTCGAATTATAGTGACCGCAGCAGTTGCAGTTGTTGTCCAAATCTCTTCTTGTTCACCGGCGGCAGCTTCAGTCCATCTATCCTTGAATTTTATCAGTCTCTTGAACTTACCTAGGCGCAACTGCTGTGAGTAGCGATCAAGGAATGGACAGTTCAGCCTCTGTTCACTTAAGAAATGCTTTAAGCGCTGTTCACAGTCCACAACTTATACAGAAGTATATCGAATTTTATTCTTTTTTTATCATTTAGAATTTTTTATCATTTAGAACAAGACATACTTCTTGAAAAAGTAATTCGTGAAATGAAATTCTAAATAAGAAATGTTATGGAAGCGAATTTTAGTAATGACACTATAATGACAATATAATAATTTCGCTTAGTATTGCACATTAATTAAGTTTGAATTAAATGATTAGTTTCGTAGCATATCACTTGCTTACTTTTTTGTGGTAATCAAGTTAAATTTCATTTTTTTCGAATAAATTCATATTTTTTTGCAAGATTTTCAGTAACGAGAAGTCGCCTTTGCCGGTGGATTTAAATACAGCTCTTTCGCTGTTAGCAAGGCCAGCAGCAACTCTCCCAGCAACATTCCCGCACTTCGGTCCATTTTCCTTTCCGGATCCATCTGCCCTATTTGCATTTTCACAACTCCGTTCCAGTTTGCCGAATTATCAAACGGCGACAATAATATCGCCTCTCTTGTCTGCAACTGCCACAACTACAGGTGCCATATCCTCTGCCAGTCTTGGCCCATCTCCTCTCAAACGGCCTAATCGAGAACAGCAATCAGCATCTAGTCCACCATCCTGCTCCTCTTCATCGGTAACCTCATCATGCAGTCCTCAGCAATCACCACATCGAAAACAAGCAGCACCAGTACCTGACGATAAAAAGGTTAGTCTTTGAAAGTTTTGCAACGAGTAATTTTTTTAATGAAGTCGTTTAAAATTCAAGCATTTTACAAACAGAGTTCCCTTCTCTCCTAGTGTTATTGGACTTTTTCCCAGAAAGATAAGATAATGAGTGATTATTGCAAAGCCAGTATTACTCTTATGAAGCCCATAAGAGGCATACATCCAAGTAAAATATAGTTTGAATATGATTTATCCGATGATATCAAATTGGCTCTGGTGTTATACTCATTATTGTTGTGCTAAAGTAATGACCCCTTGAGATGTCTGCAACATTACGCAGATGACCTTTGTACGTCCTTTTTATTTATCTACCAGAGACACAACTCGCAACTGTTCTCTGCTCTCATTATTTATGCAGACATGCGGCACACTATGCGCAACAGTGCTAGTAGTTACCCTTAAGGCCATCATATCATCCTCTCTGAAAAGCAGCTGTTGCTGTTGCTACAACTCAAATTAAGCTATGAAGTCGGAAATAACAGAAGTTATAGCGAAATGTCAATTTACCGAATATCGGATGTGTCTACTGAACAAGTGTGATACTCTACCCTGCAAGAACGGTCAAAGAGTACGTGGGTGTATGCTCACTGTTGACCTAGTTGACCTGATCTGATCTATTTTAAGCCTATATATGCATCTTTTATTTATTGCCAAGTGAATTTATCTAGTCATGCAAAGTTTGAGACGCAAGCGTTTTGTTTTCACCGAAAATATCAATTCCATAAAGGCAACAGATGGGGTCATCATCATTATGAATAACAGTTCCTTTCATAGAAATGGTGACAAATAGAGAGGGAGAGAGAGAGAGGGAGAGGGAGAGCGAGAGAGAGTGGCCGGTCTAATTTGGGTATTCTCGGGAGATAGCTACTATGACTTGCAATGGTTGGAAGATTTATTGTCATTTTTTGTCATTGTTATTCATTGGAAGGACAATAAAGTGAAACATACTATAGATTTCTTCTGGTTCAGTGAATTCGCTTGGATATATTGAAAACACTGATCGGTTGCTTTCGGATCCCATAAAGAACTATTTATTAAGGAGATGATTTGATAGTTACAAATAAAATCAATTTTTTTGGATTTGGACCAAAATTCAAATTTGTTTTTGAAAATTTTGAAATTCTTTTTAATTAATACGTAATCGAACTTGTAGATTATAAATATTACTCTAGGATGAAGCCTACTATGAACGGCGACGAAAAAATAACGATGCAGCAAAGAGATCAAGAGATGCGCGACGACAAAAAGAAGAAGCTGTTGCAGCGAGAGCAGCATTTCTGGAGCAGGTGCTGCACTTTAATCTTTTTATTTGATCTCATTAAAAGTAGTTTTGCATTTCACTTCTAGCCATCTAATTCGACTATAATAATTTCAGGAAAACATTCAGCTCCGTAGCCAAGTTGTTTTGTTGAAAAATGAAACAGCAAAGCTACAACTAATGCTTTTCTCAAAGCCAGAATTATTGGATCCAAAAATGTTATCAGCAAGTCAGACTCCACAATCCAACATTTCTGAGCAGCAGCAGCAGCAGCAGCCAGAATTGGCCACGCGCAAGTCAAAAATATGAAGCATATTAAATTGTATATGATCTTTTCTAAATTTGCATATTATTGGTGTAATAAGACTCTGATATAAAAACGATAATATTGGAATCGTTGCACTTTTACCTGTGGTTTTTTAGGTTTTAGAATATGAATTTACTGTTCATTGAGTATTTAGCAACATCTCACTTCATTGATTTCAATTTATATTTGTTTTATTTCGAATGAAAAATTGAAAGTTGAATAGCAATTAAAGGAGATGATAATGTAGCATCAATGTAGCAGCTAGAGTGAACATTAACTTGAAATCAAAGAAAAGGTAATGGAATAAATGCAAATTCTACCATATTTAGTTCACTCTCAATTCATACTTTGTTGTGAGCTATCGCCATTTCATCGCCATCCATTTCAATTTTATTAATTTCTTTTTTAGCGATTTTCATGCTCTTTTAAGATGCATCGATTCATTTGGGAATTCAACTTGATTGAATTTTGCTAATAGATTTCAGAAGCTTAGTGTGCTGATATGCTTTATCATATTTTTATTTCACAAATGCTTTCTTTTTCTATTTATTTTTCTGTTTTTTTTTTTATAATTTATAGACGTATTGTTCTTACTCAGTGGTATTACCAATATTATTTTACGGGCAAGAAAAAAAAAAAGAGATGGTGACAGTCAGTTTAAAATTTCACTTTGTTCTCTTGAAAGTCGTACAATTTCAAAACGCGTTTACGTTTAAAGTGCTAAGTTAATCGATAATTTTTTTTAGTTGGTTGATAACAAGTTGATTGATTTATTTGTAACTAACAATTCAGGCAATCATTTTTAAGTAAAGTTAATTAGTCACATACTAAGTTTCCTATTTATCAGCAAAACCATAGTATTTTTACTTACAGCCAATGATAGACTAACCTAGAACATAAAATGTATCAGCACAAGTATAAAAATGAGCCAAGATCCCAGTATTGTAAATTCAGTTATTAACTTTCCTGTTTTTTATAAACTTTTTTTTATTGTATATATTTTTTCTTAAATTTCTTTTTATTTGCTATTTCATATATTTGTATAGCTCAAACAAATTTTACAACATTCCTTTCATAGCTTTATTTGTTCTCTGTTTTCAATTATTTTCATGTTCTATCTCCGAGAATTCTTGATGCAAAGTGCTAAGTTCACTCTTTGTTAGAAATTTCAATTCTTAAAGTATTTTATTCATACCCTTCCCTTATTGTCCATATTGTTACAAGTGTGCTACCTATATTTATTGCCAAATTTAAAAAGTACACAACGCTCAGTATGAAAAGATTAAAGGAGACTTATATGCTTCAAATCTACTCGAAATGATTCTTCCATTTGTGATGTTATTGTGATTTTGTAAACTTATTCTCTAATACCTGAAAATGTCATACTTCTGTCATACTCAACTCTTCATAGCCATAGTTTAACTTAACAGAAAAATGAAAAAATTGTTTTACATTGTTTTTGTTATTGTAATCATGTTATGATGTAATATCCAGTAGTAACTTTTTGATCACTTTAAAATAAAATTCTTGGAAATTCTACTACAATCATAATATCATTCATTGATTCCTTCTAAAATTTTAGCACTGTAATCAGAAATAAACTTTCTTACTTAACAAATCAAAACAGAGCAGTTAGATGAATTTTTATATTCTTCCATTCGACTAAACATTAGACCAAAAGACTGGTTTTGCTAGAACAAATAATGCGGAATTTCAACTTGGTAACAGATAAGTACTATTCTTGTTTAACAAATCAAAACAAAATAGGATAAAAATAGGAGCAAATCAAAACAAAATCAAAATTTTTAGAATTAAATGCTTCTCTTTTTTTAAGTAAACAATCTGTTATGATGAGTTATGACCTGTTCACGAACTTAAAATTGCTGTCACTTATTCAAGTTGTGGGTTATTTGGCTATAAATTGATTCGTAACATAGTTTAGCATTTTGATATTGCGAAGGTCAAAACTGAATTTTATGTTTTAGGATGCGCTTTGACATGGTAAATTAAGCTTTTGCTGAAAGATGATAGAAAGGATTCATTAATTGTAAGTCGTACGTATCGGTAATGTGTTGAAGAAATTGGGATAATCGCTGTAACAAATGAAGTCGTTGAGTGCACTGCTAGACAGGTGTAAACAATTTCGGGATCATCCATCCATCCATTTAAGCAACTTTTGCAATAAACAAAAGATACACCGAGAGATGTAACAATTGCTAGAACTACTTATTGACTTAAAAGCGGGGGAGAAATAACATTAAATTGGCTGCTGATGGTATTAGAAAAAGTTTAGCGTTTTCATTTTAAAAATTTCATACTGATTTAACAATTTACAACAGTGATCTTCCTATGGGTTACTGGTTAAATGCGCATTTCATGCTAATATCACTAATCACTACTATTGTCATAAGCAAAACAACTTTAATCATTTTTTCATTATAACTTAGTAAACTCTTTGAAAATATGAGTCTTTAAATTTTATTCATTAAAATGTATTCGAGTTCTTAGGATCGAATTTAGCATTACAAGTGATTGAAATATTTATAAATAAGTTTATTGATAGAACATTAAAACTAATGGTACTCTTAGTGGTATTATGAATAATATGACCCAAAGTTATCCATTTTGGTTCTGATCTATTATTTCCTTCGTTCTTTATTAACATTTCTTTGATAAGGCATACTTAGGAGAGTGATAAGCTTAACACTCTTTACATCATTAATTCTTCAGTGATAGCAAGCTCCCGATGATTATTTTGATAGATTATTAACTTTGATTTGTAAATTTTATGGCACCTGCATTTGGATTGAATTTGTATGAATTATCCTATTCGAAAAATGGATGGTACTACGAATTTTCCATATTTATATTTTGTACTGTAAAATAATGAACTGGCACTTTGAGACATATTTTTGATTGGAACTGAGTGATTACTGATTTCCACACAATTTTTTCGTCTTTCTTCGTTTAGAAATTTTGACATTTATCCTGCCAATTATTTTAAATTTAGCGAGAATCGACATTATTTTAACTTTTCTGCATTAACTTCTCTGCTTCCCATTTTATTTTTCTTGCAACATTCCCATTATTTTCAGGAAAGTTGCTTACAATAGACATTGTTATATTTGCGGAACGGAAATAATCGGAAATAAGCGTCCCATCATTCTCTACAATTTAGTTAGCAAAGGAAAAATAGATGACCTCCAACCCCTTTCATAGTTGGACTCATAGCAGTAGGTTCAATTTAGCAATCCAATTCAATGAATTAAATACAAAAAAAAATTATATTCTATAGTTCTCCAGCAAATTATGTATAATTCCGTTGAAGCAAAGGATGCTAAGATCAGAGACTTTAAGGGATAACGCTTTAATACGAACGATAAGTAAATATGCCGCAATCATTTTAAAAATTTTCGACAAATTTTCGTTTTCCATCCATGGTCATTTGATTTCATAACTAATTAATATTTTATTAATAAAATGAAAAAGCAATTTATTTGAAGATCATTGCTACTGTCATACGTGGAAAACTTATCACTTACGTTTCTCACTTACATCACTTATAGATACAAAAAAGTCATTTCAGTAATATTCTTTACAAATTCTAATTGAAACAGAAAGTTGCCAGGGAAATGAAACGTTTTGCCGTAATTTTATAGAAAGTCTAACCGTGCAACAGTGTCTGTTCGATGAAGTCAACGAATGAATGCTAATGCTTTGCCTCAGATGACATTCGACATGGCACATCGGGCAAGCATTGTCTCTTTACCCACAGAGTAAGCAAATGGAAGAATGAAAGAGCGGAAACTGTACAAATCAGTGATGGCACTACTCTCGCTGATTTTCATGTAAACACTCGGAGGACGCTTTCTCTGTAGAACTCTCAAGCATCCTTCACCTGTCTATCGTTCATTTTGTCAACTGATTTTTCGCTTCTATCAACACAACAATGTCAACTATGTCATTTGAAAGCAGTGACTCTCTGGCAATAATAATGTCATGAGCTGATATCGGAAATAGGCACCCAGTAATCCCTTTCACCACGTAAACTGCGTGATCTGTTTTTGTAGTACGCTTCATACGTTGCTCAGAAAACAGAAACAAAACATATTTGCCAATATTTATTAAAACGATTAATAAAACATATACTTTCATTGGGTTATTTAGTATGTTTTGCAAACAGATAGTACTGTAATTAATATTTTTAAAGCCAAATTGAGCAATTGAATTGTTTGTTTTTTTTGTTTTATTTAATAGTAAATAAACGTAATGTTGTGAGAGTATGCTTTGCTGTAGCGTAGTGTAATAATAGATGACAAGACAATTATCCTTTTTCATTTAGCTATCGAAAACGATGGCGACAACAGGATATGTTATCAAATCATTGATAAATCTCATAAAAATCCGTTCGATACGATATGCATCAGGAATTACATTTGTCCCCAGCCAAGCAGATCCTTCACTTGGTTTTGTCGCTTTCTCTCATTTTTACAAAAATGATTGAATTAGTTCACATATTGGCAAATGCATATTTCATCTAGTAGTAAAAAGAGATTTAATTATCCATAATTCACTGAGTTATTTCATTCCGGTTATTTCCGTAAACGCAAAAGTTCAGGTGAAATAAGCAAGATGAATCTATGCCAAGCGATCAACAATGCAATAGATATCGCCATGGGAAGTGATTCATCCACATGTCTTTTCGGCGAGGACGTTGCATTTGGTGGTGTTTTCCGATGTACCGTTGGCTTGCAGGAGAAATACGGTCTGTTGGTTTGCATTATTATTAAATGCAAACTATCTTATTTATTGATTAGTGCTTAATTGAACTGGAAAGTGAACTTATTTCACATAGTTCAATGGATTTCTGTATACTTTTTAATGCATTAAAAAGTTCGATCACTAGCGGAATTTTATCTTTAATAATGCAAAAGATCTAATTTAAATGGAGCAAAATTGAAGGAATTTTTAAAACAGTATTTGATTTCATTGAAGGCAAACTTTTATTTAATCCTTTTATGAAAGATTAAATAAAACGTTGCGCCGAGATAAAGCATTGCCATAAAACCAAAGTCACAAAACATTGCCAGGATTATATGACCACTTCTAAAATACATATATTTAAATTTCTGCTGTTGGTAATGCATCAATGAAATATTTAGGTAGAAAATTATAATGCTTTTTTAAAAAACAAATGTTTAAAAATGTCTTTGAAATGATTATTTTCAAAAATCGTTATTTAAAAGTGTTTCATTTCATTTCATATGATTCAAATCTAAGGCATACATTAACTTTTACAGGCAAGGATCGTGTTTTTAATACACCTATTTGTGAGCAAGGAATAGCTGGTTTTGGCATCGGTTTAGCAGTTTGTGGTTCGACAGCTATTGCAGAAATACAATTTGCTGATTACATATTCCCAGCTTTCGACCAGGTAATATACCTTGATTCCACTCTGAATTAATCTCTTTTCATTTCAAGAAGTATAAGTTGTTAAGACAGAGAGAGATACAATAAGCTTTGTGCTAATGATGATGGCAGCTTCATTCCCGCATTTAATTTGAATTAATCAACTTATGAAGCATTGCAGATAACTTATCAATTAGCGATATCCTTTCATTATTGTGTTTCTAGATTGTGAACGAAGCAGCCAAGTATCGGTATAGAAGTGGAAATTTGTTTAACTGCGGGAAATTGACAATAAGAGCAACGTGGGGTGCTGTAGGTCATGGCGGTCTCTATCATTCACAAAGCCCTGAAGCTTATTTCACGCATACGCCAGGTTTGAAGGTATAAATTGTCACCCACTTTATTTTTGTGATAAAATGATTCTCTTTAATATTAAGCATAATTCAGATGTTGTCAATGTAAGTAAAACTTCAAAAGTCAATATTGTAAATAATTTAAATGCAAAACAATTATTTTCACATTTCTCTTCATTGTATTGCATTTCAATAATTTGAATTACTAAGCATAAATGTATCAGTTTACACTTTGTTTGTTTCAGAAACTTCTTGACTGAGAGAACATAAAGAGTTATATTATGTTTAAGGTGGTGGTTCCACGTGGACCGATTCAAGCGAAAGGTTTACTATTATCATGCATTCGAAATGAGAATCCATGTATATTTTTTGAGCCAAAATTGCTGTATCGTGCAGCAGTTGAAGACGTTCCGATCGGAGATTATGAGACTGAACTTGAACAAGCTGAAGTAGTCAAAGAAGGTTTGAAAAAAAATTTTTTTTAAATACATTATCGTAAAAAGTATGTTCAACGATCTATTCACTATACGGTGTTACGATTTTATGCTTTACAAACTTTTGTTCATTCTTCATGAAATGAAACTTAGTTCTTAGAAATGTAAAACTGCTTTTGTTTTCATATAGGTTATCAACCTCATACATTGCTTATTGCTTTTTAATTTAATGTTTTCCAAGGTATGACGAATGTGACGATATGATATCACGATACATTGAAGGTATCTTAATTTTCAGGGAAAGATATAACAGTTGTTAGCTGGGGTACTCAGTTACACGTTGCACTTGATGCTGCGAAAGTTGCTGAGGAAGAAATTGGTGTCAGTTGTGAGGTGATTGATTTGAGAACCATTTTACCGTGGGATATCGATACGGTTGCAAAGGTTTGTTGAATTTTTTAAATTTATGATCTGTTTCACTTATTATTTGCACTGTTGTTGAGCATATGAAATGCAGTTGATTTTCCTTTTTCAAAATATAGGCTGCCGGTTTTATATCTCTCTGTATTCACTTTAGAGTGTTAAAAAAACTGGTCATTTAATAATAACTCACGAAGCACCGATAACTTCCGGATTCGCAGCCGAAATATCAACGAAAGTTCAGGTGGGAAAATTATATGTTAAGGTTTTTGTACAAACTATCTGTTACAGATTACTTTTTTGTTTGAAAAGTTGCATTTGAAAATTTGATTTCAAAAATTCCTAGCAAATAATTGGGGACTTTTTTCCAGTTTTATGAAAACGAGTATTCAGATAATTTTCAAGCATATTTGTATCAATCATGCAAATAGCTGATTGATTCACAACACTTTTAATCCTGGTAACACTGAAATATTCAGGAACGATGTTTCTTTCACTTGGAAGCTCCAATTAGTCGTGTTTGCGGCTGGGATACACCATTTCCGCATATTTTTGAACCCTTTTATCTACCGACGAAATGGCGTATAATAGAAGCAATTAAAAAATTAATCGATTTTCAACACTGATTTTTTTTTTCAACGGTATTGAAGTTTTGTTAATCTCGATGATTTGTTTGCTACTGAAATGTTCACTTATCCAAGATTGATAATAAGGAGAATCACTTCTAAATGTTCCAATTAATTTGGAACTTGATTTTCGAGTGGATGATGACGAAGTTTTTTTTCAGAGGTATTTGATGTTTAAACATAGTCTAAATTTTCATTTAAATTCGATAAATTTTGAGTAATATTTTGCTACGTATTCTTGTTATTTTAATCACTAAGAATTAGCTATTTCATTTATAACTTTCAGTTATAAATGAAATAGCTTTTTTTTTTGTATCACATCTGCGTTCTGTTTGTATGATGTAATGATTTAATCCATCATTCTTCCTGTTAATTTTTTTAGAATTTAAAGTCTTGCAAAGTCGCTACAAAATCACTGCTTAAAAAGGCACATAAAGTTTAAATACTTAAAATTAACAGGAAGGATAATCTTCAGTATTAACTAATTTTTCAGCTAAATTTCAACATTTTTCTCGAAAGTAATTTTTCAATTTTGTTTACTATATTCATTTTTGAAGTACTCTGTCATATTTGTAACTATCACCGTTAATTGTTCTTCAAATTCATCCCATAAAATCATTTCCTTTTCATCATTTATTTCAAAAAAAAAAAGAAAACTTCCAGTATTATTCATTTGTCTTTCTTTCGCAGCAATGAACATAAGCTAGAACTACATGTCATTTAAGTTGTTTTGATGTTGAAAGCATTTTTTCTTTTCAATTTTGTTCCAACCCATTTTCATTCATTTCAATTTTTTGGTTCTTAATGAGACTTAAAAATAATGAGATAAGACAAAATGAGTAACAATGTAAGCTAATGATGGTAACCATCCACAACTATTTATCAACACATCGGTATTTAGGATTCAAAATCTATTCATCACATTTTTTTTAGAATTGAAACCAATCTAAACTTCAATCTTATTCTTTTTAAAATTCCGAAGAACGTTCCGAGGAATAATTAATTTTTAACTCAGTGTTCATGTATTCAAGTATTATTAGTGCAGTACTTCATCTTAATATTTCGAATTAACATTTTATAATTAAAATATATAATAAATTTTGCTTTCATATTTCTACACACTTCTATTTTCATCAAAAATTTATGAAAGTTCTAGGAAAGCAACTTATTTGACCGGATTTTTCATTCAAACATGTGGAAAAAATATAACGTATAGGAATATTCCAGCGAGGTTTACACCTATTTATTTTCAAAAATTTAGCTGAAATGATTTGGGAAGTCGGACAAGCAATTTTACACATGTCATCATCGGCTTTTTTTAAAATTTTGTAATGATGAAAAGTTGCTTAAAAAGGAAAAGCTTTCTAGATGAAAAACATCGGAAGTTTTCCATTTCTTTTAAAAAGAATGAGAGATCGAATTTGGTAGTGGTTAAATAAACAGAGCTTATTCTTGCCTGTGTGTAGTTAGTGATAATTGTTGACATCATTCTCTTACTTACCCGCCCGTCCCTTGCTAGATGTAATCATCCGTGAATAAAAGCTCTCATGCAATGAAGCTTTTATATTTATTTTTTCTGCTCTCAAAAGAGGAAAAAAAAAAATCACTTTTTAATGAAAGAGCTCTCTTTGCCATACGTCATTGGCCAATATTATGTTAGGCTTGGACTTAGCAATAGGCATTTTACTCTTTACTCTCCCCAAGTCCTTCAAGGGCACAAATAGACAAGCATTCTCCGTTCATTCAGAATATTCAATACGCCCACGTGTTTACTTGATACATGCAATTCTCAATTGAGATAAAGTTTATAGAAATACGCAAATATAATGAAAGCAAATAAACAAATGCCTCTTAATTTCACTTTCTTATAAAGATATCAGCAAAATTTGCTGTCCCCCTTCTGACTAGAAATGTAATGAGTGTTTCTTATTTCGATTAGTGTGATAAGACGTCCTTCCCTTTTGTATAGATTATTCTGAGCTCTTTGCAAATTTAAGATTTGAAGTTTAATTATCACAACACTGAATCAGATTTCTCTAACATATAAAAACTTCTCAATTTTTTTCAATTCTATAAATCTCAAACATCAGACTCTCTATTTTATTGGATTGTATTGCAACATAATAAACTGTGAACCAGCGATGTTACAATTTTTTTATTACTTTTTTATCAAATAAGGTGGAAAGTTCCCAGAAAAATTCAAAGTTTTTTAGTGAAGAAGAACAATATCAAAACATTGCTGTGTGATAGTTCCTCAATAGAGTGCAACGGATATGAATGTAATGCGATTCATGAAAAACTGATTTTCTCTTTCCCTCTCTCTCTCCTCTTTCTCTCATCTATGTTTACACTGACATCTTTCCTGTTACTGTTAATTGATCTTATCAGTAATCGACAGCTAACATTCCATTCCGCAAACTGTTCATGAGAAGTCCTTACATCCTCCTTTAATCTCCCTTTTCAGACAGATGCTAAATTAAAAAAAAAGAAAAACTTTTGACAATATAAGCATCTAATCAGCCCATTTTACTCCATCATTCTTTATATATTGACATCAGAAATCGCAAAACTTAAGAATTACATCAGACGGTCAATGATAGCAATAAAATATAATTTCCATTGATGCTAAAAAGACCACTACTACATACGCATAAAAACTTTTCTCACCACGTAATAGTATAATAATCAAACATTCTAATAAATTAAATGAACATTTTACATTTGTAGGGAAAAATTTAAACAAGACATGTTCACTCCATGAATTTCTCTGTGTTCAAACACAATTTATATTTCAAATGAAATCACTGTCATACTGGTGATAATTAGTCATTAAGCGTAATGAAATGAAATAAATTAGGAAAACAGATCACGTATGAACGGTATTGACAGATTCGCTTGCATTCATATTGTACGAGTAATAAAAGTTAAAAATAAAGAAGGTTCGAGGGAAAGTGCTTTCTGTGAAGCATGAATAGTGCAATTGAGAATTGGATTATTTGTACTTCAGGAATTCATGCAGAAATTTTTCAAAGAACTAAAAATAGGCAAACGACAAAGGTGGAGGTAAGGACCCAAGTTGAAGTTACTTAGAAAGTACAGAGAAAAGGAGAGAAAGAATAAATGAAAAGATCAATGTCAAATTTCTGTCGAATCTTTGTGAAGCAAATAGTAGAACTTAACTGGACTAAACATACATGTACTGATTAATTATCAGTATATGATTACTGCACGTACATAAATTGACTGTCAGCAATTTAAAGGAATAAAGACGAATAAACTCCTTTTTAGAGGCCATTCTTCCACATGTACTGGCAACTTTTCATAGTGGTTGTCTTCGATAATATGGATTTAAGGAAATTTCATTGGATAAGCCTTTGCCTAAAATTGATATATACTGGTGATAATGGCGGTAAAGATGAGAAAAGATACGGGAATGGGAAGTAGGCACTTAAAAGCCGTGGATAGCAAAGGCAACCAGTTCCTTAAAAAATTAGAAACAAGAAACAGTTATAGGAACAGAATACCGGCATAGCACTTGAAAAAAAACAGCAAAAGTTCAAAATAATTCAGAAATGAAGAAAAAAATATTTGATTCCAGGAGTACCAGAAATAGAACAGTATGGAGTATTGAATAGAATACACTACTCAAGTAATAAAGAGGCACGAATTTAAATTTGCTCGTCTTAAGTTGTAAGGATTAAAGGGGCGATATTAGCACTTTTTAAATGAATCCATGCTTTCATATTTGTAGAGAAAAAAATAAACAGAAGTGGATTTGTTGAGGAAGAAGGCGAAGGAAGTCAAATGAAAATAGAAAAACTCGTAATAAAGGTCATTTGTATCACAGTAGCCACTGTGTTGCTAATGTTTTACATGTTCAAAAGTATTTGAAACATTCTTCTTGAAGGTGAAGTTTTAAAGTAGTGCTTAATTGCTAACCGAGTAATTCCTTTAAATGAACAGAAATATGTATTGTTTAAAGGATTTGTTCATAAAGAGCACAAGTTCGGATTTCTTTCAGTCTTCACTTTTTTTAAAATCATTTACTGAATTGCAATTGAAAGCTGACATTTAGTCGATAAGTTGTGCTATTTTAAAGTTTATAGAGACCTGATTTGGGAATGATATGAAGAATGTAGGAAAGGAAAGGTTTCCAATTTAAACAAGAAAAGTGTTTCGTTGTATCAATTTGTTAAAAAGAAGAGATTTGAAGGAAAGATCTAATATAAAGAAGAACAACATACATTTTATCTTTTTACATAACTACTTCAATTCTTTGTAAAGCAGAATTTTCAAGTGGAAAAATTCTGCATTCAAGGAGAAATAAAAGATAATGTAGAACGAAAAAAAAAATAAAGCTAGTTGCAGTTTTGCTGCTTTATAAAGACTTTAATATACATATATATCAAAACATGCTCTAATGAATTACAAAAAATACAAGTAGAAAAGGTAAACAGCAACATGAACCGTAAATAAAATGATTTAGACTGAAACCGGTGAATGAGGTCTTGAACAAAACTTCTTTTTTTTTGAATGTTTTATCAATAAATATATAAGATCATTTGAAAATATCTTCATAAAAACATGCAGAAGATCAAAATAACTATTAAATTCGCTGTTTTGTGTTAAAAAAGTTTTTCAACCTTTCCGCTCTAAAAAACAAAAGGAAAAGTTATGTAAAAGATATTACATTCCATCACGGCAAACAAACTTGCATTTCAGGATGCGGTCGTTGCTTTCGTTTCGATTGTTTTCTATACAACCGGTATCCAGTAGGAAGCATTTGGTGGTAAGTACAGTAGTGTCTGACGAGGTGTATGTCCACAGAAACCGCCCATACAGCTTTGTTGGTAATACATATTGACGGATAACTGATAAGCCAACCTGTCAACCATTGATAATGTCTGTCGTCGCTCATGTGACATTAGGCAAACCGTACTCTCGCTGATTACTCGATATAATAACAGCAGGTAATCATACTTATCCTGAACTACAAACTT